TCAGACACAACTCTGGTTCCTGGTGTATAGGTCACTCAAACAAATGCTTCAAATGTAAGACAACTTATATTTCAATATAAACAACTATGGGACTGGGGATGTGGCTCAAGCGGTAGCGTGTTCGCCTGGCATGCTTGCGGCCCGGGTTGGATCCTCAGCACCACATACAAACAAAGATGTTGTGTCCGCCAAGAACTAAGAAATAAATATTTTTTTAAAAAATATATATAAACAACTAATTTTTAAACACTATATGGGCCAAACTCCGGCCTACAGTTTTCTCTTGCGGTCCCATTAGATAAAGATATGCCAAAAATAGAAATTTCCCTTCCTTTAATTTCCCTTTGGGCACTAATAAAACCAGAAATTAGGGCTGGGGTATAGCTCAGGGGTAGAGCGTGTGCTTAGCATGCATGAGGCTCTGGGTTCCATAGCCAACACGCGCGCGCGCACACTCACAAAAATCCAGAAACTCTATCTGTGAATTGACTTTTTCAGAGGTTCTAGTGTTAAGTTCTGAGACAAGATTGCTCTCAAAATAGAAGCTCTTTCCTTTCACACACGCAGAGAGGACTCTCATGGTCAAATGCAGGAAACATCCTTTCTTGACTCTTTCTTCCTTGAATCTGTCCCCTCCTCCTCCTCTTTTCCTTTTAACCCAACTTTTCTAAATCTGAGGACTGACCCCCAGGGCTGACGTCTAGACACAGAGCATGAGGCTTATGCTGCCTCGATCATTCTCTTGCCCATCGCAAGAAACAAATATGTAACTAACTGGACCTTCCATTCCACAGCATCTGTCTATTCAAAACATCGTGCTGTACATGTTAAAAACCACACAATGCTACTTGAAAATGTAAAATATAAAAATAAGAAAAACTTAGGGCCAGGGACACAGCATAATGGTGTGTGCTCAGCATGAACAAGGCCCCGGCTCTGACCTCTAGCACTGAAAATACATCAATTTTAAGAAGAAACAAATATGCTACCTGCTAGCAAGGCTGCAGAGATAGCACCCCACACCTCACTAAGTTCCCATAAGGTGTTGACAAACAGTCATCATCAAAGCGTCACTGAAGCATGCCATGGGTAGACATCTGTATTAAACATTCAATTATGCTTGACCCCTTCACACAGGAAACAAAGCTTGAAAAGATACTTTCAAAATTCTGAAGGCAAGGTCACAGAGCAGTGGAGAGTCATAGGTTTCATGACTTCAGTCTGGGGGTGTTACCTGTGATCTTCCATTATTGCTCCGCACCCTTTGAGGGGGGTCCAGGACCCCTCTAAAATCTGATTGAAGTGATGGGCTCTCTTTCCAGAAGAATGACATTCACACAAATTTATAGGCATTGTTCAAAGGATTTGTGGGTTCCCTGGTATGCAACCATTTACCCCAAATAACCAATCCCTGGCTTATGTGGCTCAGCTGTAATATATTTACTCTATGAAGGGAACGGGGCGTTGGCATTAGGATGGTGGGATGTGGAGTGAAGCAACACGGGGGGTAGGAGGGAGCCAGCTTTCTCTCCTTGCCCGTCTCCTGAGGGCTGCCAGAGTCCCACAATTACATGCTCTCTGCAAATGAAATACTGCACCCTTTGTGTGACTGGAAAGTGACAATCTCATCTCTGAATTTAAACGCCCTTAGTATTTAATTCTTTCCTCTGTGTGATTAGTACTTTGCTTTTGCACATTATCAAGACGATGGCTTCAGAAGGCAGGCTACTGGAGATCCGGAAACCCACACGTCCCAATTCAATTTCCTTGTGGAAATCAAAGAGCTCACTCTCTTGAGGAGTTGAAAGAGGCTGAGGGGTCACCGCCTTCCCCCAGGGTGCTGGTGTAGGCAGCGCTCGGAAGGGTAATGTAAATACTCAGTATGAGGCAACAGGGCAGACCAATTTGTTTTTCAATCTATTTTATTTCAGTTCAAAACATCATTGCAGACAGACAGTCCAAGAAAACAAGTCACACTTTGGTTACACTCAGTATTCCTCAATCTCCAAAAGCAGCTGAGTATTGCCAAAATGCGGCTTGTTTTACTGGGCTGCTGTCTGCACTGATGCTTTGAAGTGAAATAAAATAGATTGAAAAACAAATTGGTCTGCCCTGGCTCTTCCTGCAGTTTCGTATTACCCTTCAAAGCCGCGTTTCCACCCACTTTTCACTGGAACCCAACAGACCCAAATCACAGAGCAAGGCTGCCACACTCAGACGTGAAGGGCCCACCCAAATCTGAAACAGCAATTTCACTCAGGGCTGTTGCTTAACACTGCATTAACAGGCCCCTCTGTCCATCAGTTCCCTGCTCCATTTGCTGGGTGGGAGTATATCTTTTGGTGACATGTGCAATATGGTTACTGGACACGGTTTAAAGCAAAACTTGACACCGCTGTTCTGTACAGCTCCCTTATTATGGCCTCAAATTGCTTATGTTGATGAGCTCAAACACCCTATTTTCACTTATTTAAAAAGCTTGCAACTTCTTTCCAAGCATTCACTATTCTGTCTTAAAGTATACAACATCATTTTTACAACATTATTTTAAAGGAAATTCACAATTATTTGCAAATAAATTTTGAAGTCACACCATCTAGAAGAGGCCTGATACTTTTCTGAATCCTTAAGAAAATGCAGATGTTGGGGCTGAGGGTGTTGGTGTGCTTAGCATCCGAGGCCCCAGGTGAGGTCCCCCGCACCCCAAAAAAAAAAGAAATGTGGACACCTCTATCAGAGGAACACAAATGGCTTCCAGCTTAAACACTAAAATCCTGAAAACCATGTAATTTGGTTTAAAAATTAAACCCCATTTGAAAAATTCTTTCCTAAACACAAAGAAAAAAACAAGATCTGGGGCTGGGGCTGGGGCTGAGCGGTTGCGCACCTGCCTGGCATGTGCGAGGCCCTGGGTTCGATTCCAGAACCACATATGAATAAATAAAATAAAGGTCCATCAACAACTGAAAATATATTAAAAAAAAAAAAAAGATCTGTCCTGCTCCCCCTGAACATAGGAAAACACCCGCCCCTGCCACATTTGCCTGTAACACATTTTTCTGGATTTTTGTTTTTATTTAGTACTTCAAATGAAGTTTCATTTGAGGTCAAACTTGATTAGTTTTCTCTAACAGGAATTCAGGAATATGTTTAACAATAAAAAGAAAACACCAAACTTATTCCGATATCTTCTCCTTTAATGAGCACATCCGCATTGCAGGCAGCTCACCCAGGGGAAGCTGGACTGGCACCAGGGACCAAGCACAGCACTGTTGACCACAGCACAATCACTCCCCCTCGGGTCTCTGCCACCCCAAGTTCCTGCCTACCTTCTGGTCTTTGAGCTTGCTGAAAAGTTCCTCCCCTGGCTCCTCCCCCTTTTCCCTTCTTGCCAGGCTAGCTTAAACTCCCTTTTTGAAGAGGGGTCTTCCCTGGGCTGGGGTGTGGCTCACAGGCAGAGTGCCTAGGATTTGCAGAGGCTCTAACGTCAATCCCCAGCATTCCAAAAAAAGGAGTCTTCCCTGACCACTCAAGGTGAAGCGGGGTCTTGCAGGTAAGCATCTCCGCTGTTTTGATTCCCTCAATTTTGAATAACATGTTTGTGCACTGTCCTGACACTAGGTTTCAGGATCTGGGCCTCTGGGACTGCTCACCCCAGTGATCACAGGGCCTACCACAGTGGTGCCTGATACACAGCAAGCACTCAAATATTTGCTTAGTGAAGGACCTGGATTTGTTTATTTAATATCTACCTGGAAACTCCAGGTTGCGGGTATTGGCTGCAACTGAGGGTATAAAAGGTGAGGTATGGTCTCTGCCCTTAGGGACCTCCCAAGCCAACAGGAAAGACAACAGATGAAACAATGTAGTATGATGAAGGTTTAGCTTCAGCTTCCAATTTCCTGGAAATCTTGGAAATCTCTCCTCTGTGAGCCTCATCTGTAAAATGGGAATAATTACACTACCTGTGTCATTGTGTTGGTGTGAAGAAAAAGTGACAGTCCATATAAAGAAAGAACTCTGTCCTAGTACCTGGCACAAAAAAGAATCACTGAATAAACATTAACTACGAATTGTTATGTCATGACGACTGTGTTTGAAATTATCTTTGTATACAGTATATCACCTGTCCAAGCCCCTGAAGAATTTAAATTCCACGGAAGGGCAGAGATCTTGTCTTGTAAACTATTATATTTTCAGGGATTTGAATAGTCCCTGGCATAAAGTAGGTGCTCATGGAAAACCAAACAGCTAACGTATGCATTCAGGCAAGCATGGATGTTTCAAATCAGTTAAATCAACGATGAAAAGCTAGATGTGGGGGCTGGGGATGTGGCTCAAGCGGTAGCGCGCTCGCCTGGCATGC